CTTCTAGCAGCCAGAAGTTGTGGGGACTTCCTGGCACTGGAACCCTGGGCTGAGGGGCCTGGTGTGGGGCTGGAACTTTTTACTGTGGAGACATCCCTCCCAAATTTTTGTCCAAAACACATGGGTTTGGGAACAGCCCATTTCCCATCTTCACCCCTCCTACCAGTCTGCATGGATGTGATTTCTTTAATTCCATGGTTATCAGACTTCCATTCAACTCAATTTCTGATGGTCCTGAGTGATGGTCATTCTATAGTTTAGTTGTAATTTTGATGTGGTTGTGCGAAGAGGCGAGCCATGTCTGCCTATGGTGCCATCCTGACTAGAAGAGCCCTCATATCCTCCTTTCTAAGGAACTAGCCCTCTGCACATTTTCCTTCTTGGTTCTGGGGATCATTGTCTGTCTCCCAAGTGGTTATTATCCCATGCTGACTGACCTTGGAAATCCAATTCTTGCTTCAGAGTGCTTATTAAAAATCCGATGCACTTGCTATAAGTGTCAAGAAGTAATTGATTTCTACATTAAGTTGTATTTCCTTCCAGTATGTTCTGAAAACAGTTAACTACCTACTGTACTTGTTAATTGAAATTAGAAATATTGTCAGTAAACATCTAATCTGATGCTTCTAAAACAGCCAGTGAGGAGGAAAGTGCAGAGTTTTTTCAAGTAATATGTGCCCATGATACCTGAGATTTTAGCAAGACCAAAGTTTGTGGATGGAGTGAGGAATTCAGGATGAAAATTACTGGTCTAACCAGCATTCTGCTTCTGTGTTCTCTGAAACAGTTGGATTCTTTTATTTTTTTAAAATCTATTCTTCAAGATAAGACAATGGAGGTCCATTTCAAATATATTTTGTTGGGAAAAGACACTCATGGTTTTGAGTCTAAAAACAAATTCTCTTACTTCCCTCACTACACAGGTCCATAATAAAACTCTTCCTCTCTAACTTCATAAACATCCTCCACTACCATCACAATCCTTACCACAGGGCAAGCATCAACTCAAAGTATTACTAGTTAACCACTTTTTGCCTTCTAACCTTTGATCTACAGAATAGCTTTTGGATATATAATAGGCATCCTCAGAGATTGACAGTGTCCAGAGTCTTTCCTAGGGCTAGAATGAAATATGGCTTGACAAGCAAAATATAACCAAAGACACTGAAATTGAGAACAGGCTGACAGTGACCAGAGGGGAGAGGGGAGAAGATAACAGGGTGAAGGGTTTACAGGAACAATTGTAAAGGGCACATGGACAATAACAAGGGAGGTAAAAACAGGGGAAGGAGGTAGGGTGGGATGGGGTGGTGAACAGGGGTGGGGGGAAAGGCAGAAAACTGTACATGAACAACAATATTTTTTTAAAAAGAAATATGGTTTGAATTTCAAGTTTCCTACATATTGTATATGACTAGGGGAAATGGGTTTTGTTACTAGCCTCATTGACTTTCATTCCTCAACCAAAATGATGAATGTTGAAGAGCTGTCCACCAACTAATATATACCCAAAGAAAGAAGACTCAGGTCTCGATCAAAGAAATCAATGACTCCTTAGACAAAGGTTATGGCTCTTTAGTAAGTAGTTTGGTTTCAAACAGATTGAATCTCCATACTTCCTAGGTAGACTAGATATCCTTGTACACTTCTGGAAAGAGGAACTTCTCACCTGCCATGCAAACAGTGTTTGATCCACTTTCTGCAAGTTTCTGGAACAGAAACTATCCTTTTTAGGAGCTGCTGCTGGTAGACAGTATAAATCTGGTAACAACATACCCACTGCTACAACTGTGTAATGGTTTAATCAATATAAACCCAAAAGCAGAGCTTCCGTACAGTTAGTTATACTTTTTGACCGAAAGACTGCTTCTATGATAATTCCACCATAACTTAATCCACCTATCAAAATTTCTATCTTTCTTTAGAATAGAATTGAATTGAGGTAATATGGCTGGAGAAGTGGCTGAAGAGCCTTCAGTAGAGCACATATTAAAATGATAGACAATTTCAGTGTCTTTGTTTTTTTTTCTGCTTGCTTGTTTGTTTTGTTGTTTAGCTTCCTGTTAAAGGTGAGATCATATGGTATTTGTCTTTCAGCACCTGGCCTATTTCACTCAGAATAATGCTTTCCAGTTCCAGCCACAGTGACCAGAGGGGAGAAGGAAGGGAAGTTAAGGGGAAAAAGGGGGAGGGATTTGGAGGAACAAATAGGAAGGACACAGGGACGAGAACTAAGGGGAGTGGAAATGGGAGGGAGGTGGGGAACAAGGGGCAGGGGAGACTGGGATGGGAAAAATAGACAAAAAACTATACTTGAAAAATAACTAAATAAAATTAATTTAAAAAATTTTAAAAAAGGATAGACAAGATAGATAGCATATATCCTTTTAAATGCAAGGCTGATGATTGAGATGATTGCCAAATGTCAGCACTAATCCAGAAAAAAAGGAAGCTATGAAACTGGTATTTACCTTGGGATAGCTGTTGGTTCATAGTAACCCTAGAAAGTAGTTTTAATGGGCCAAGTACAAGGGACAAAAGAGACAAATCCTAGGGCCTAGGCAAGGTTAAAAGTTTGATCAGGTGCACACCATCCCCCTCCTTCTCTGCTGAAAGTCAGCCCCCAAAGGATGTTAACAGATAAATGGGGGTAGAGAACCACCACCCAAAGGAAGATGGATAGGGACATGGGTTTGTTGAGTTTGGCTCTCGGTGTAAAATAGAAAAAAAAAAAGGGGGAAAAAATCCCTTTTCGACATTATAATTCTAAATCTGTAGTCAGGCAGGTCTGGGGCCAGAATTCTTACCTGTATAACCAAACACATCAAACCAGAAATTTAGCTTCAAGTAGTTCTGGATTAGCAATATTCCCAGGTGACTGGTAGGAGTAAATGCAACTCTCCTTTGGAAGAATTCACTTCAAATCCAGGTCTCAAAGAATCTCCAAAGAGAAAGTTTCTAAGAATGTGTGCTCACAAATAAATCTCATAACACATATAAGGGAAAATATGAAAGACAGGCTAAGACATATGGAGGATAAAATGAGAAAGACCAATGTGCATCTAATAGGAGTTTAAGGAGGAACTATTAAAGGCAATAAGAGAGAGAGAGAGAGAGAGAGAGAGAGATTATCTAACAGGTAATGATGGAGAATTTTTCAAAATTAGTGAAATACAAAAATCATCAGATTCAGGCCACATATAATTAGCATCCTAACTCTGTCTACTAAATTTAGTAGGCTAATGCTAACCCTTCATATCCCCACATCAGAATCCTGGATTGACCACACTCAGGGTACCCAGTCATGTCATCCTCAAGAGGAGCAAAAAATGATTAAAGGAGCTGCTCAAATATGCCTCAGGGTTTCTTTTCAGAATACCAGAACTTAAATTATGTATTGTCAAATTAGACCTTTTCTTCACTCTGAAGTTGTATCTGGTAGATGAGCTCTGTTAATTCTAACTCCTCGCTTAGACATTCTGCAGCCTCCAAAAGCAAAAACAGAAATAAAAGTATGCATTTTTCTGCAGTATACTGGTAAAACCATGCATTTAAGGTCCGGGTTCACCTAAATTTCAATTCTGATCCTGCTACTGTGCTTCACCAGCTACTTATAAAATGGTGGGGGAAGGTTTGAGAATCAAATAACTGAGATAACATACGAAATGCCAGCCAGATCATCATATAGAATAAATATTTATTCCCAAGGAACATGTATAAAGGACCCATGGACAAAGACAATGGGGGGAGGATTGAATGTGGGAGGCGGGGGTGGGTAGGGCAGGGGAGAGTAATGGGGGGAAATGGGGACAACAGTAATTAAACAAAAATTTTTATAAAAGAAGTTAAAAAAATTATTCCCAAGCCCTGGCTGGTGTAGCTCAGTGGATTGAGCACGGGCCTGTGAACCAGACAATCGCGGTTCGATTCCCAGTCAGGGCACATTCCTGGGTTGCAGACCGGTTCCCTGCAGGCCAGTTCCCAGCAGGGGATGCACAAAAGGCAACCATACATTGATGTTTCTCTCCCTCTCTCCTTCCCTTTCCCTCTAAAGATAAATAAATAAAAAATATTAAAAAAAAATTATTCCCCTTTCATTTCCCCATCCCTCTTTTTAGGTCATGACTTTCAGACTTTTCCCCAAGACTGAGGCCAGATTCATGGTTAGTCTTTAAACAAGTTATCTACTCTTGACAAAATAGAAAATTTGGCCCTGGCTGGTGTGGCTCAGTGGATTGAGTGCCACTTGCGAACCAAATGGTCACCGGTTTGATTCCTGGTCAGGGCACATGCCTGAGTTGAAGGCCAGGTCCCCAACTGGGGACATGTGAGGGGCAACCACACATCGATGTTTCTCTCCCTCTTTCTCTTTCCCTTCCCCTCTCTCTAAAAAATAAATAAACAAAATCTTTTTTTTTTAAGTTGCTGGCCAGGCTGCATTCTCATATGAAGCTAAGGGTCTTTTTCCTAGTCCATTCAGGTTGTTGAGAGAATTCAGTTGCCTGTAGCCATAGGACTAAGGTATCTATTTCCTTACTATCAACAGGGGTCCATTCTCAGTTCTTAGAGGCTACATTCCACACTTCATAGTAGAAGTTAGCTTTCTTTCAGGCAAGCCAGAATGCAATTCTCTGACTTCCTCTTCCCTACCAGCCAGAGAAAACTGCTATTAAAGGGCTCATGTGACTAGGTCAGATCTGCCAGATAATCTCCCTATCTTAAAGTCAACTGAGTTGGGACATTAATTACAATGGCAAAATCTCTTCACAGCAGTACCAAGATTCATGGCTGAACTGAGTAACTAGAAGAAAGTGAGTACACTAGGGGCTAGAAAATCTTGGGGTCTATCTGGAAATTCTGCCTCCAATAACCCACAATGTTGAAATGTACCCACTTAAAGAATACCATAAAAAATGGCCCTGGCCAAGTGGCGCAGTTGGTTGGAGTGTCACCCTGTTTACCAAAAGGCTATGGGTTCCATTTCCTGTCAGGGCACATACCTAGGTTGTGGGTTCAATCCTCAGTCAGGGCAAGTACAGGAGGCAACCGATGTTTCTCTCTCACATTAATGTTTCACTTTCTTCCTTCCTCTCTTTCTAAAATAAACAAACAGATCCTTGGATGAAAAATTCTTTTAATCAAAAGATAACATAAAAATTTTTAAATAGTGAATTGCTTTAGTTTTTTTGTTGTTGTAATATTTAGACACTTCACTCATTAACACAGTTCAATTGGACAAGCTACTAAAACTAGTTTTCTCTAGGGAGATAACAAAAAAATAAAATAAAATTGCCCTGGCTGGTGTGGCTCAGTGGCTTGAGTGCCGGCTTGTGAAGCAAAGGGTCATCGGTTCAATTCCCAGTCAGGGTACATGCCTGCGTTGTAGGCCAGGTCCCCAGTAGGGGGCACAGGAGAGGCAACCATACATTGATGTTTCCCTCTCTCTACCCCTCTCTTCCTCTATCTCTAAAAATAAATAAAAATATATTTTTTAAAAATATTTTCTTTATTTATTTTTTGAGAGAGGGGAAGGAAAGGAGAAAGAGTGGGAGAGAAACATCAATGTGTGGTTGCCTCTCATGCGTCCCCTGCTGGGAACTGGCCTGCAACCCAGGCATGTGCCCTGACTGGGAATCGAACTGCGATACTCTGGTTCACAGGCCCGCGCTCAATCCACTGAGCTACGCCAGCCAGGGCTAAATAAAAATATTTTTAAAAATAAAATAAAAGTGTGACCTCGGGCTTGAAGGTAACCGAAGTTTTACCACCTTGAAGCTGCCTTTTGGAATACTGATTTTAAGCCTGTTACTGAGAAACAAAAGACTCAGAAAGAACTTTGCCCCCACCCCACCCCATTCCTGCCCAAGAGGTTCAGAGGGAAAATTCTGCTTCAGGAAGGAGATCCTAGGATGCTGTCTTTGCCTCATTTGAATTAATTATGTTATACGGGAAGGCTTCAGGCAGGGGCCTATTAGCTAGTTACCCACTATGTCCCCTTGTTTCTGACTTGCCAAGCAAGGATTTGCCTGCCATGTTTGTTCAGTTCTTCCTCAACTACCTGTAAATTGCCCAATCTCACTGTTGAAATCTAAGACCCTATTATGCCCCCTTTTCTTCTTTGTCCAAAATGTCATATACCTAATGTTGCTTTCACTGCCTTTGGAATTTTCATGCATATGTGAATTCCCCATGTGCATGTATTATAACAAAATTTTATTTTCTTTTGTTAATCTGTCTCTGTTAGTTTGATTTCTAGCCCAACTAGAACTTAGAAGGTGGGAGGAAAAAGTATTCCTTTTTTTTAGCCCCCACAGGCTCAAACACTGACCACTAAATGCCAGCTGTGAAACTCTAGGCAAGTAACTGAACTCTTCTAAACCTTAGTTCCCCTACTTATAATGGGGAATAATTGTATTATTTTCCTCATATAGTATGAGTAGTAAGTGAAATAATATATGCAAAGTACTTAATACAATGTCTAGCACTAATTCAATGATAGCAATTATGTTACCATTTGATGATGTAAAAGATGTAAAACTATCTCAGAAAGTATAAAGAGCTCTTTTAATGTAACATGTCACCAGGAGCACATAGAGAACATATCACTAGACAGGTACCCTATGCACAGGTGGACAGGTTTAGGGTATACATGTTTATCACATATATATTTATTGTACCATCTTAATTGTGCACTTGAAATTCCCATTTATCTTTCTCTCTAAACACATTCAGTATAAACATATCAGTATATGTTCATGTTCCCAAAATAACTGATAACCAGCTTTAAACAGATTAAAGGTTTTATATGGACTTAGTAGCCAGAATTATAACTAGTGGATAGAACTTACAGAAATGCAGATTTAGGCTAAATACAATGAAGAACTCCGTTAGTACGTATTTATGAAAAAAATGACTCGGTAAGTAGTAAGCTCCATACATCTGAGTGACCACTTAGGGAGTTTGTAAAAGAAATTCATGCATATGATATGCATCCCAGATATGAGGCTGGGACTACTAAGTTTTTTCTTTTTTTGACTACAAAATATCTTTTATTTTTAACTTAACTTGTCAAATGGGCAGATACAAAGTATGGCAAATTTGATTAACAGAACAAAATAATGTTATTCAAATTGAATAATTTATTGCTGATCTGAGGCTTGCCTTGTTTTACACTTAAGTAGGATTTACAGTTTCCTCAAACAGCACATATAAATATTTAAAAGAATTAATAGTGAGTTATTCAATAAGTCAATCATCTTTTTAAATTTTTGTATTTATTTTTATCCTCTCATCTCTTTCCCTAGGCAGCCATTCCGTTAAGTATACATTTGTTTTTATTCATATGTGCTCCACATTCTGTGTATTATGCATATATTTTTAAGTACGTTTTATTGATTATGTTATTACAGTTGTCCCAATTTTTTTCTCCCCTTTGTCGCACCTCTGCCCTGGACCCCCCAACCCTCCAGCATTCCCCCCACCTTAGTTCATGTCCATGAGTCATACCTACAAGTTCTTTGGCTTCTGTTTCCTATATGATTCTTAACCTCCCCCTGTCTATTTTCTACCTACCACCTATGCTACTTATTCCTTGTATCTTTTTCTCCATCCTTCCCCTCCCCTTCCCCACTGATAACCCTCAATGTGATCTCCATTTCTCTGATTCTGCTCCTGTTCTGCTTGTTTGCTTAGTTTTTGCTTTTGTTTTTTAGGCTCAGTTGTTGATAGTTATGAGTTTGTGGTCATTTTACTATTCATAGTTTTTTATCTTCTTCTATTCCTTAGGTAAGTCCCTTTAACATTTCATATAAAAAGGGCTTGGTGATAATGAACTCCTTGAACTTGACCTTATCTGGAAAGCACTTCATCTTCCCTTTCATTCTAAATGAAAGCTGTGCTGGATAGAGTACCCCAGTTGATTAGAGCATAGTCCCAGTATGGCGAGGTTGTTGGTTCAATCCCCAGTCAGGGAACATACAAGAATCAACTAGTGAATGCATGGATAGATGGAACAACAAATTGCTCTCTCTCTCTCTCTCTCATCAATAACTTTTTTAAAACAGAAGCAAACCACTAATAGTATACTTTGTTTTCAGATATTCCACATTAGTCCATCATTTCACAGTTGCTTTGGAAAACATCATTACCATTCTCTGTGTTAGGCCTACAGTACAGAAAATGACTTTTTACTTGGTAGATTAATATGAACACTGCAAGATTCACTTGGTGGGTATATTTTCCAAGTTCAGCTTCTTAGTGGCACTTATTAAACTGTTGCAGAAGCTAAAGTGTGTTCCAGAAGCTAAGAAGCTAAGCTAAGTCCCAGAAGTTAAGCAATAAACCCAGGACTCATAGTCATGCACTATATTGGGAGCCAATCTCAGATCTTAAATGCATATAAGTCTACCTTGTATATGATTGGTTATATATTTCCTTTTACTATTTTCCCATTCTTTACAAAGAAATACATATTCACTGTATTCAATCATTATATAAAGGAACAAATAAGGCACAAATCTCTTTCTATTATTTTTTAAAAGATTTTACTCATTTATTTTTAGAGAGAAGGAGAGGAAGGGAGAGAGAGAGAGAAAGAGAGAGAAACATCAGTTGGTTGCCTCTTGCATGCCCCCAACTGGGGACCTCGTCTGCAACCAAGACATGTGCCCTGGCCTGGAATCAAACTGGTGACCTTGCAGTTCACAGGCCACCACCCAATCCACTGAGCCACACCAGCCAGGGCCTCTTGCTATTATTTTAATCAGCAACCAAAGACAATCACCATCAATGATTTGTAAACATTCTTCCAGAATTTTCTATGCTTATATACACATATAGATATGTAGGTAAATAATTTTACATAAAGTGGAATTATTCGACATGCAGTATTTTATAACTGTTTTCATTTAACATGTCATGAGCTCTTGTCATGTCAATGAATACAGAAGCTGAACTCTTAATAACTTGTGGTTAGCAAATTATTCCTGCCTGCTAGTAACTCTTTCTTTTAAAAACATCCATTACAAAACTTCATTTGGTTCTAGTAAGGAAGACAATCACAGTAGTATCTCCCCACATGGTTTGTGGCAGGAAATCAGCTGATCCAGGCCTGACAAATGGGAGTTCTCTATGCTCTTAGCTGGAGGGATTTCCAAAGACTAATTAACATCATCCCTGAGATGCAATATATAAACACTGAAAGTCTCATGTCCTTTGGACTGAGATTTGTTAAGATATTATAAACTGAAGTTGCTTATAGTTTTTGCTGCGTACAAGAAGGAAGCAGCAAAGTACAAAAAGAAACAGAGATAAGCAAAGAGGAGAGGTGAACAAGAACTGAGAGTATTAACATATCTTGGACCCTGGATTAAGCACTGAACTGTATAGTCGGTGCTGCTATATGGCAACATATGCTTTCTTAAAAATCACTGCACTATGCAAAGTTGCTCAATAAAACCCACTGGGTTTATGGGGAAAATGGGGATAAGAGTACAACATTTTAAAACTTTGTAAGTGACAGATACACAAAAACACACAAATCTAATAAAAGTGGTAGCAGAGTTTTACACATGTTAAATGGTTAAGAAATACATAAATACTATAATAGATATAGCACTTCATTTTCAAAAAGACCTGAAATTTGCTTGTGGAAACAGGCACCAAAAGGATTGCTGCTTGTGAGTTGTTGCAAAGTGATGGAAGGTGGGTTATCTGAAATCTGGGGGAAAGTTGTAACACTAGATGTGGATGGGTGTGAGTCAAAACACACCCAATGAACTGAGGTAGATAGGAGATGTTTGCGGTGTGTATGTGTGCATATTTTGTGTATTCCTAAATGACTTAATTCAGCTGGACATAGTTTTCTACTTTCACCTAGTGTATCTAGCTCACAAAATTGCACATAAGCAAATGCAAAATTCACCTTATGCTCATACTGCTCTCTAACATACTATGGTAATCACAAAGGGATAAGCAAGAGTGATAGCAGTTTGTACTTGGTTATGTGAGTGAATAAATTATCTTTTCTTGTTTAAGATAATTTCAGTTACCTTTCTTCCAGAGTCCTGAACAGTAATGCATGGTTACTTAATATTCCATCATACAACAGTAACATTTAATATTGCAGGGTGGCTTTTCTGTGTCTCTTAATACATTTGTAAACTATCATTCTCTAACTCTCAGTTCTTGTGTGCTCAGAAATTGAAATTTAATATTAACATAAACCCTCATTAACAAGGTGAGGTATATTTGAAAAATACATAAAGATTCCAAAGCCAAATAGAAAAGATTTTTTAATTTTTATTTTTGCCATTATTATCTGTAACACAACTGACCTTTCAGATAATTGATGGCTGATGATTTTTTTATAGAATTTTATCTTGGCCCTGACAGTTTGGCCAGTTTCAAAATGTTTCTTGTGTACTTCAAAATCTATAAAAACTCTTAACAGATTTCAATATTAAATCTTTTCATGTCAGTACTGTATCTCAAATCACCTAACCCTATACATAAAAAGCCTACATGCATTACAGTGTTGTCACTAATGTTGAGTGATTACCCTTGGATTGGAGCAAAAGGGCCCCAAGGATACTGCCAGTTTATATTCTTGTCAATAGGAGAAAGCAAGTACCCCATAAAGTTGTTCAATACTCTAGTTTTTGGAACTCCTAAGTAGAGTTTATACTATGCAGATAAGGAAGTATAACAAGTTTCCTTAAATCCACCTCAGTCTTGGACCTTTGTAGTTTTTAAAGTCATTGTGAACAAGCCCTGATTATGTGGTTCAGTTGGTTGGGCATAGCCCAAAAAAGCAAAAGGTCACCGGTTCCATTCCCAGTTAGGGCACATCCCTGGTTGCAGGAGGCAAGTGATCAGGCAATATTTTTCTCCCTCTCTTTCTCTCTCTTTTCCTCTCTAAAAATAAGTAAATAAACTATTTTTTTCAAAAAAAAAAACCAAAAACCAAAAACAGCCCTGGCTGGTGTGGCTCAGTGGATTGAGTACCAGCCTGCAAACCAAAAAAAAAAAAAGGGTGGCCCCAGCTGGTATGGCTCAGTGGATTGAGTGAATTAACTGCCTGTGAACTAAACTGTCACTGGTTTGACCCCCAGTCTAGGGCACATGCCTGGGTTGCAGGCCAGGTCCCCAGTCGGGGAGTGATAGAGGAAAATACACATGGATGTTTCTCTCCCCCTCTTTCTCCCTCCCTTCCCCTCTCTCTAAAAATAAATAAATAAAATCTTTTTAAAAAGTCACTGTGAACGAGCCAGGTGGGAAGAGCCTTTATCTTCATCTTTATCTGTAAATATGATTCTGTGTTAAAACTGATTAAAATAATCAGTACTTTCAGGTCTGGGGTACCCTAGAAAATAATGTCCTATGGATCAAGGGTTGACAAATTTTTCTGTAAAGAGCTTGAGTGTAATTATTTTAGGTTTCGTGGGACATACATAAACAAATAGGCCTGGCTGTGTCCGAATAAAACTTTATTTAGCAAAAAAGACAGCAAGACAGATTTGTCCAGTGTACAATAATTTGCCAACTCCTGCTTTGGACCAATAGTTTTCATCTTCTACTTTTTATGGTTGTTCTAATACAGTTGTCCCAATATTTCCTCCTTTGCCCTCCTCTGCCTAGCTCACCCCTCTGCTCCCACAGTCAATCCCCACACCATTGTTGTCCACATCCTCCTACCTTTTGCAACAGCATGGATAAAAGTGGAGAGTATTATGCTAAGTGAAATAAGCCACTCAATGAAAGACAAAGACCATATGATCTCACTTACAAGAGGAATCCAATGAACAAAATAAACTAACAATGCCCTGGCTAGTGTAGCTCAGTGGATTGAGCACGGGCCTGCAGACCAAAGGATCGAAGTTCGATTCCCAGTCAGAGCACATGCCTGGGTTGCAGGCCAGTTCCCAGCAGGGAATGCATGAGAGGCAACCATACATTGATATTTCTCTCCCTCTCTCCTTCCTTTCCCCTCTAAAAGTAAATAAATAAAATCTTTTTAAAAAAACTAATAAAAAAAAGTAACAAATGAAACAGAACCAGAGACATGGAATCATTTTCTATTTTTTTTAATAAAACCGTGGGGACAGTCTCTGGAGGCTTAGATGGCCAAACAGGCAGGGAACTGAACGATCCCTGCTTCAACTAGAGAAGTTTTTATTTTTATGATATATGGACTGTGCATGAAATAGGTTTGATTAAAGGGTTCCATACCTAATGAGAAGAAAAGCTTCCAAACCACTGCCTTGTACTAAACCTAAAACCTGCTGCTTTAAAACTCAAGCACAGACATTTCAGGCAAAACAAATACATCTTTTCATATCTTTTCACATCTTTAAAAAGGATGATAGTTATATAATGTTCTTAACCAATGCTACCCCAATAAATTTAATTTTTTAAAAAAGTTGTTAAGTGATACACATGTTTTAATGTTCCCAGAAAAATTTGCTTTCTTGTACCATTGATCAAAGCATTTAAATAGACAACTTTAATAACTCTAAAAATGTTATCATTTTATCATTCCTATTCTGTTTTGACTTTTTCTAAGTATAATGTTTAAGGTACCTTAAATGGTCCAAGAGAGGTGGTATGGTATAGTGAAAAAAGCACCAAATTAGGAATCTGTGTTTGTCTTCATTGCTAGATTGAGAGCTCCTGAAGACAGGAACTAAGTTTTCTTCTTCATGGTTGAATTGTCCTCAGCACCTAGAATAGTACACGATAACAAAGTCTAAATTTTAAGGCAAACAAATTTACTATTAAATAACTAGCAACAAAATAAATTCAGGTAGTTTATTTACTTATATTTTTCCATAATTCTTAAGGAAAAAATCATCTTTCTTGGTGAGCAACAAAATAAAAAGTCAATACTTTGAAATATTTTTGTCCCTAAGAAATTAACATGTTTAAAACACATAAAAACTAACAATTACTGGATCGTGACAAAAGTCATATACTAACAATATTCTATAAACCCCTTGTCAGCAATTCTGAAATCCAAAAAGCTCTGGAAACCAAAAATTTTTATTTTGTATTTTTAGTAACTTATTTGATAGTCAACTTGATCTAACCTAAATTTATTTGCCAGTAGTATCTGACGTAAATTGAACGAGGCTGTTTACTGGTATTTATTTACCTTGTATGAATAATCACATGGTTTGCTGCAAGAAATATTACCATATTTAAATATGCAGTGTTTTCCCTTAACTGGCTGGAGTGTTACAGTATACAGACAGCACGTGGCATTTGGTTTCACACAAGTCTGCTAGACAACACTAGGTATTTTCCTGCTTGCGTTACAAGGAAGAATCTAGAGTCCTATTCCAATCTTTCTGAGGCCATGCTCCTGGTCCCAATCCAATCTTTTCTGCTGCCATCTTGAGCAATTGTTGAGGCTGTGCAAACTGTTCAGAGAGCCTTTCTGTCATGTCAATGGGAAAAATAAACATACTTCACAATGATATGGAAAGTTCATGTTATCACTTTGTCAGTGATCCATTGTTTAAGAAAGAGCATCTTAGTCTTTTATTAAGTACCTGTTTTCATCACTGGACATTCGGTACCGAAGGATCGTAATTTCGCTAATTGGTTTTAGCCTTGCAAGGGTATCTATCTGCTCAGCATATAGTATTTACCATTTGAATGACGCACATCTTGGCCAGGATGTAAGAATTTCTCTTACATTAAGTGTGGGCAGCAACAGATACTTGTAGAGAAAAAAAATACCCGGAGGCCTTAATAGGCTCAGCTCCAGCAATAAATCCCGTATTACTCCATGGAACTGGCACACTCTCCACGCATCTTTCATGGACCCCACCCTGTGGCCTGCAGAGCCATATCTAGGGATCTCAATTAAAGATCTTCTGGTAAATAGGGCGCGCTATTCCTGTAACACTAGAGGTAGTGGACCTGCCTATGCCCTAGTGTGGTCTATTCCGGGCTTGGATAAATTAGGCAAGAAGATGTGAATGCAAACCACGATGCCAATGTTTCCCGAGAGCATTTCTTAAGAAAAAAAAAAGCAGACTCGAAAATGCCTCTCAGGAACAGCACAGGTAGTGGGTAAGACGCTCTACCAGACCCCCACCTACGTCCGGCACGATCCCCGGGCCGGGCACCGGGCAGCTCCAACGCAGGTTCTAAACTCCTCCCTTCTGGGGCTCATCCCGACCCTTACCGGCTACTTCCGGCCCTCGTGAACGCCCTCAACGCGCTTGCGCTGTTTTGATTGGCTTCTCAGGCCGAAGAAATCCGAGCTTTACCTCTCTGGGACCGCCCCCGCCTGCCCTTCGCCCCGCCCGCTCTTTAGCGCCCCCGCCCGAAATCTCGCGAGGGTAGGTGCGCGTCAGTATTTTACGAGCAACTCCTCTTGCAGCTGCTGTAATTGCTGCTGCGGGAGAAAGTGGACTGTCTCTAGTCCGCGAGCCCGCCCTGCCCAGCTGAGGAGAGCCACCGCCTCTTTTCTTGTTCCTCACTTACACCTATTGCCGGGAGCGGCGACGGCTACAGTCCCTGGGCTCAGCGCTGTCTCATCTCCTCAGACGGCTGCTTTGCCGGTCATTCCCGCAGCCGGGCAGCTGACGGCTCCCCTCTGGTCCTAACCGGCTCCTCTCTGCACAGCGTCCGTTCCCTCCTCATCCTCGCGCGGGACCACCTCCCCACAGTCTCGCCAGGGTGGAGGACGAGGAGCAGGAGACGAGAGTCACCCTCTCAGGCGACGTCGGCCCCCTCGTCCGCGGGTGTGTCCTATAAATGGCGTCGGAAAGCGACACGGAGGAATTCTTTGATGCCCCCGAAGATGTGCACCTAGGAAGCGGCTACCCTGCAGGGTAAGTAGCTATGGCCCAGAAGCCGGGCGCCCTGACTCCCCGGCTTCCCCCGTGCCTTCCTCTTCCACCCCTCGCAGGTCCCGCTGTGTCCGCCGCCGCTGCTCCTCAGCCTCGGGGACTTCAGAGTGAGTCGCGGAATCGGGGATCGCCCACCTCGGGTAAACCTCTTCTTTTCCTGGCGAAAGGCCCTTGGGGATCTCTCGGGGCTCTCTCGGAATCCCTTTCTCATCTTGCCCAGCTTTCTGCGAGGTGGGACAGCTGACGTGCCTTCGATTCGGCGGTTTGTTTGTGGGGTTCAGCGCTTACCTTTGAAACATCCGTTTTGGCCTTGGGGACCATAGATTAAAGGAGCAGTAACAGGAGAAATTGCATTTCCCAGTTTTTCTTTCTTTTGCCGCTAACTTACCTCTTCATTTTAGAGGTAGCTGTAACTCTCCCGATTTTCCGTCGTTTTCCTTGCACAGAAATAAAAGGAGCGGCGGAAAGGGTTAGGTGTTTACTTAGGAAAGTCCTCTGTCTGATGTACTTTAGATCCAACAGTGTTTCATTAAATTACCATCTTACCGTGAGGCAAAGGAAATCGAAGGTCCTTTACCAATAGGGAGAATGCCGTTTTTGAAGGTATCCGCACATAAATGTACACAACCGACTACAGAGATAGAAACAAGTGCTGAGTAATCTGGTGGTTGGAAGGAGAGCCACAGCTTTGTGCTCTTTATCTAATTCTGCAAGATGTTTTAGTAGTGATTAATATGGGAGATTCTGAGTAGGAAGTACAGTAGTTGGACTGCTTCCCTTGCCTGAGACTTCTATTTACCCACTCCTCCACTATTCAAAGTTGGAATCATGTTTATAGCAATTTTGCCGAACTCTTCTACAGACTTATGTGGGGCTAGAGGCAGTAAAATGTATTTTTATGTTTTGAGAACTTGAGAATTGTTAAAATTTGTATGTTAGTGTAAGGCACTAATATGGTTTCAGTAGCCAATTACCATTAATTTTCAGACGTACCACTTGGAAGAAAGACCTTGTTTGATGCAAATAAAGTTACCTGTACATTCTAGAAGTCGTTCTAAAACCTAGTATATATTACCAAAAAATTACAGCAACAAAGTCAAAGAAATGTACATTATATTACAAAAATTAACAGCAACAAAATCAAAGAAATTTATGTAGATAAATCACTGATGTGTGTGTTTCCACCAACCTTTTTCATATTACTATTAGGGGATTTTAGGGTGGCAGTGGCCAATCAGGAGATTGCACCAAATCTCCCTTGAACTCAGTACCTGAAACAAGTTCATAGATAGGTGGTATGGGATAGAAAATCCATTTGGATTTCCAAATACATTGAATCTCTTTGAAATTAAAATTTATTTTGGTTGTTTCCCCTCAAAGTAATGAACCGTCAGTTCAGCTTGAGAGACCTGATAAAGTAATAAAGGATTAGCAAAGGTAATCCTTTATTACTTTTGTGTGTGTGTGTATGTGGAGGGGGTAGGGAAATCAAAATTGATGTATGGGATTGTAATCAATTTAGATCTATGTGAATAGCTTTCTTTTTAAAAAATGTTTTATTTATTCATTTTTAGAGAGAGGGAAAGGGAGAGAGAAAGAGAGGAAGAGAAACGTCAATGTGTGATTGCCTCCCACTTGCCCCACCCTGGGGACCTGGCCCACAACCCAGGCATGTGCCCCGACTGGAAATCAAATAGGTGACCCTTTGCTTTGAAGTCCTGTGCTCAATCCACTGAGCCACACCAGCCAGGGTGAATAGTGTTCTTTTTTTAACGAATAAAACAAATTTAATTTTGAAGGACAGTCATATCAGGACCTGTGTAAACTGTCAAGCCCAGCACCAAGCATGGAGAAAGAACTCAAATATTCATTCCCTTCTCCTTCCTTTCTTGGAATTAGCAAAATTAACTTCATACAGTGCTTACTTTGGGAGGAAGTGTGCAGAACTCAAAGCTATTTAACTTATCTACACCAAGTGAGTCATTTTGATATAATTGATAGAGTCATTTCTTCCCTCATGGCATAATATAGCTTCTCAAGCTCTTTGATCCCTTGATGCTACTAGGGAAAAGTAAAAAAATAAATTTTCCTCAGACCTAGTATTCTCATTTTAACTCTAACCTGCCCAAATGTTTAGCTTGTTTAGCCCCGTGGATAAAACTACTGTGTCAATCTAAATTGCGAGGCTTCATCCTATAATAGTCAGGGGATTTGGAAGTGAATTAGCCTCACCTGGAGAACTGAATCTGAAAAGAACTAGCTGTACTGGGAAGACAGCAAAAGGTTGGCGTAATTAACATATCCTCTATCTTTTGTGACAAGTTTTGTCGTTTGCATAAGGTACTGTGAGGAGACTTGGCTGGGTAACTAACAACCTAGAAATGCAGTGAGAAGTCTTGATTTGTGGAAACAGATGGTGTCACTAGATATCTGGCCATCAGAAATATCTTCTGTCCTTTAATGTGAACTAGAGTAGCAAACCATTCAAACTCGTAAGAGATTATCAGACTGAGTTTGGGTACTTTAAAAAATGTTTCTTGCTAATGTATGTTCTAGAATACACAGATCACTTCACCAAATTTGTAGTAAACTAAGTAGGCAGTTAAGATTACCTCATTTTTGTTCATCAGCAGAATCCAAATGCACAATCCATTTCCTAATATTGATTTCTTCTATTTCCCCTCCAATGATGTCTTCAGTTTTATTCTACTCTTTGAAAGCAAATTTAATAAGTTAAAACTCATCCCATTTTTTATAGGAAGACTTTTGACTCCAATGCAGGCTACTTTTCCACAGTGGCAGATCATGTCCACTTGACCAGCTTTGCAATGTGTACCACATTTATAACACTTTATTTTGATAATATTTTATATCAGGTTTCCTTATTCTTATCTGTCTTTATGTATTAGGACCCTTAGGATCGAAGGGATTAAGTGATAGCTGGGATTTGAAACCAATTCTTTAGACTCCTACTTTAAGAGTTTTTGCAGTGCATCATAGCAAACCTATGCTCTGTATGTAGAAGGTATCCTCTTCCAAGAGATCTGGAGTAAAATGCTTTAGGACCAACTTCCTGAATTGAACTGATGCATCTATTTAAAACCAGCAGCCCAAACTTTTCAGTTTTCTTGGCTAGAAGTTCTCACTTTCTCTTTCAGGAATGTGTGTTTTGTTTCAGTCAGATAGGAATTTTATAAGATCATAGCGTGCTACAGTTAGAAGGGACTTCTAGTTAAACTCCTTCACATAAAATGTGAAAACCAAAGTCTAGAGAGGGGGAAAGTGACTTGTCCAAGGTACCACAGGAAATCAGTAGCAGAGTTAGGACTAGAATCCCAGATCAGTATCGCAGTGTAGCGTTTATTTCTGCTACCATGCTGTCTTTTGATGAAGCAGGAAGGGGAGGAGGAAGTGTGCTATAGTAGAAAAAGGCCCTGGACTAGATGAGTCATTTCATTTCCTCATCTTTAAATTGAGGAGATTCTGAGAACCCTTCCAACTCTAAAAGTCTCATTGTATGGAGGTTTAATAGTATGCTTTTATTGATAAGCTTTTGTTCTTGGGAAATTTTTCCATGATTTTTTTTTTTTTAGTTGAACAGACTTGATGGTATTGGTACATGATTCAAGACCCATAGATTTCAAATTAAATATTTACTGGGTAAATTATATATGAGATGAATGTTCCTGCTAGTTTGTGGATTATACATATGCATGTTAAAGGCTGGCACTGAGAATATGTTACAAAATAAATGAGAAATTTTTAGCATTCTTTATTTTTAAAAAAGTTTCATGGCAACCAAAATATTGTTGAGGTGTTGGAAGGAAGAATAGAGTGCTAACTTTTTAAAGTAGGAAGGAGCCAGAGATCACTTAGCTCAGCCCTCCCATTTAACTGAAAGCAATCTAGGCTCAGAGAAGGGAAGTAACACATTGCTGATTAGTGGCAGACTGGGAACTAGAGCCCCAGTCTCCTGATCACTCATTTATTCCATGCAGCTTTGTCTGTGGAAGGAGGGAAAGTATTGCTGGGTATCCCTGCCCCTGGCACTTACCCTCTTAGCAGGCCTCTTAAGGTGGTCTACTCTCATGGACAGTGATTGTTTTTTCATGCCTTGCTGTCAGAGGACACTGACTGTTTAAAGATTATAAATTTTCTCCAGGTCAGGATGAGCAAAGATTGCAGGAGAGTTGATCTAAGAACAGTCGTGGTTATTTATTTTATTTTTAGCAGTGTAGTTAGTGTCAACTGCAGTCTATCTTTGTAGATTGCAATAATGGCAAAATCTTGATTTTTAAGCCATGAGTTCCGAGGTCAAACTGTCCTGAAGAATTCATCCTAAAAAAAAAAAAATTAAAAAAAGAAAGAAAGAAAAGCTGCCTTTGTTGAAAACTTAACTTCTCACTTAGGCATCAGAAACATTTCTGCCTGAATTGAAAATTGATGCAGGTTTCAATGAAAATATTTGTGTGATAAGGGTTATTTGTGGAAAGATTCCTTAAAAAATGGCTGTTCATGGCTTGGCATTTAATCATAGATTATATTTGATTTCTGTTTGCTTTGTGGGTTGATAGGAATATATTTGTAAATGCTGTTTTATCACACCCATGTAACATCATATTTATTGAAGTAGGGGGGAACCTACGTATTAATTAGTAAATTTAAGTTATAAATTCAGTGGCCTCGAAATGTCAATTGGTGACTTACAGAGGTAGGTCAGTGGCAGTAGTATGGCAATTTGGGAGCTCACTTTGTATCTGTACAAACTCATAAACTGAAAAAATTATTCTGTTCTTGTGATAATCTATTGCATAAACTGGGGTAACAAACTTTGATTTAAACATTAAAAACCTAGGTAGCTATAGGATGTTAATAGTTCAGTGGTGGTCCTGCAGAAGAAAAAATAATTTCCAGTTGTTGGTATTTGACACTTAGTTTGTAAAGTGTACATTACACAGCAATCCATGTGTTCTTTTCAATTC